GCACAAACAATGAATCATGGAACACTGCATCAAAAACTAATGATGTAATGTATGGTGGTTAACAATAAAAAAATTATTAAAAAAAAAAACAAAACGAAACAGAAAACAAGTATTGGTGAGGATGCGGAGAAGTTGGAACTTCCTTGCATTTGCTGGTGGGACTGTAAATGGTGCAGTCACTGTGGAACTGGTACGGCAGTTCATCAAAAAATTGAACAAAGAATTACCATTTGATGCAGCAATTCCACTTCTTGGTCTATGCCCCAATGAATTGAAAGCAGGGATTCCAGTAGATATTTGTAAACCCATGTTCATACCAGCATTATTTATAGCAGCCAAAAGGTGGAAAAAAAACAAAAGTTCATAGACAGATAAATGATAAACAGAATGTGATACATACACATGAGGGAATATTATTCAGCCTTAAAAAAGAAATGAAATTCTGACACGCGCTACTACATGGCTGAACCCTGAAGACGTTATGCTAAGTGAAAAAATCCAGACAAACAAAAAAATAAATATTGTTATGATTCCACTTAATCTTAGAATAGTCACATTCATGAAGACAGTAAGTAGGACGGTGGTTACTGGGGTTAAGACTGGGAGTAGGAAGTTACTGTTGAATGGATGGTGGTGATGGTTGCACAATAATACAGATATACTAATGCTACTGAACTGAAAACTTAGAATGGTTAAAATGATAAACCTTATGTATATTTTACCACATAAAAAAATGGTAACAGAGGAAAAAAGGAATCTTGTATAAGGTCACACAGTAAATGCCAGACCTAGGATAAGAAACTGACTATATCTGATTCAGAGGCTTAGCTCTTAACCACTCTGACATTCTGTTTACTGAAATGGTCTCTTGATTCTCTTCTGCTCTTCTGGCCTCTGTGACTTCTATCCATTTTGCACATCATTGGTAGAGTAATCTTCCCAGGAAGATGGAACACGGGGCAAGGTGTCAGTTACCTTCCACAGCCAGTCTGACAGGGTCACTTTTACTGGAACTGCCTGGGTTGGAGACCTCATACTGCTAAGTCCCGGCATCTTCCTTCCTGACAGGGTCTATGGTGAGGGTGCTGTTGTCCTGGGACAGGTTTATCCTCTCCGTGAGCTTTAGACTCTCGTTATTGAAGAGCCACCCGATAGAGACTCTAGTGTTATTTGTGGAGCAGGTCAGGACCACAGAGTCCTTATGTTCTGTGACTGTGGTGTTGCTGGCCGGGACAGTGGGCTGGGCCACTGGCTCTGTGGGGAAACACAGGAGGTGATGGAATGAGAATGGGCCTTGGGCCTTGGGTCACACTCCTTCCTCTGAGATGCCAGCCATTCGGAGGGCCCCAGCGAGCTCTGTAAAGGTGCCCCACAGGATGGCCCTGCTGTCTGCAGAAGGATGAGTATCTTTGTTCAGGTGACGATCTGTAAGGAGAGGGCTATACCTCCGCCTCTGACCCTCAAATTCCCTTCTGGCCCTCAGGCCTGTGTCTGCTCTGCCTGGACATCTCTGTAGTATCAGCACCAGGAACCTCTTCTAAGCCCACATGTCCAGCATCCTCATCATCAGGTGGAATTTTTTACCCAGTGGCTTTCTTGTGACCCTTTCCTAGAGCTTTCTTTTCCTAAAAGGTCAGGCCCTTCTCTAGTATGGTAGCTTTACATAGAAAGGGAAGGCATTTCCCTTTCATTAAATAATTTATTAGAAAATGAGAATGGGGGGCGCCTGGGTGGCTCAGTCATTAAGCGTCTGCCTTCGGCTCAGGTCATGATCCCGGGGTCCTGGGATGGAGCCCCACATCGGGCTCCCTGCTCCACGGGAAGCCTGCTTCTCCCTCTCCCACTCCCCCTGCTTGTGTTCCCTCTCTCGCACTCTCTCTCTCTCTGTCAAATAAATAAATAAAAAATCTTTAAAGAAAGAGAGAGAGAAAGAAAAAAGAAAGAAAGAAAGAAAGAAAGAAAGAGAAAGAAAGAAAAGAAAGAAAGAAAAGAAAGAAAGAAAGAAAAAGAAAGAAAGAAAGAAAGAAAGAAAGAAAGAAAGAAAGAAAGAAAGAAAGAAGAAAGAAAGAAAAAGAAAGGAAAGAAAGAAAGAAAAAAAGAAAAAAAGAAAATGAGAATGGCCTAGCCAGTCTTTGTGAGCTTAGGACCTGGAGAAGTTCCAATCTAAAGGGCTTCTCAATCTGAATCAGACTTTTACTTCCTGGCCTGTGGATTGCATATTACAGGGAGGAAATCTTTAGAGTAATGGTCACAGTTTTAACAGAAGGCTGGTACTCTTAGCTTTAGGTATAAATATATACTTTTGGCACTGCACCTTCTGTCCCATGAAGGGACTTCGTGGGGGAATCTACCATTATTCACTGCTCTCCTTAAGTGTAAACGTATTGGTGTCATGCAGGGTTACAGAACTGGTAGACTTTAGAGCCTGACACAATCAGAGGGTCTGCCTCAGGGCTTGCTCCTGCCCATTTCCCGGTGGCCTCACGTGAGGGAGACTCTGGCACAACTGGTAGCACAATTTGGCCAGACTGAAGACAGGCTTCTCCTGTACCTTCTCCATATGCCCCTGTCCCACCACAGATGAACTCAGAGCACAGTCAGTCTGTAGGGCGAGCCAGGAGCAAAAGGACCTTCCTTCTCCCTCTATAAGCCCCCGCCACCACCAGTAGCGTTCTGGGCCTGAGAGAACCCTCTCCCACATTCCAGGCTAGACCCAAGGTCTGCCATGAGAAATCAGCAAGGGGAGGAAGCGTCTGCAGACATGTAATGGGAGAGTACAAGGACAGATTTGGGATTTGTTTGTGACATAAGCAAATGCCAATAACTTCTAGGCTCTTTTCTGAAAGCCAGACAGACCTTCGCCACAGCGATCCATGCAGATGCTCCAG